AAACACTCTAGCAGAAAGGGGTGGGATGTAGGGGAGGAGGAGCCCCACAGACTATGTGCCAGCAGAGTCATTCTGGGTCCTATAGGAACCACTGAACACCACCTCTGAATGTAAAGCCCAGCATAACAACAAGTCATGATGGGCAAATAGACCCAAGTGCAATGTAGCCCAGGAAGCAGGACACGCCTATGGACTGGTGCAGTGGCTGGGAGCTGTCACAAAAATTATCAGATTTATTCCTTTTTTATTTAAGCTAAACTGGAACAGGCTTTTTTACACAGAATTTAATATAGTCAGTTCTAGGGTTCATCTTTAATTGAACTGAAACAAGTGTGTAAGTGCTCAAGGCTGCAGTGTGTAATTCTTCAAACAGTAATTCAGCCATTTTGGTTTAAAAATGGAAGGAAGGATTATTTGTGTATTGAAATTCAAACATGAGATTACTACAGATGGCTCCTAGAGATTAAATGTTATTGTTTCTACTTTAGAGTTATCTTTGCCTTTTGTAGCCACAAAAGTGGACAGATATCTAATATACAGATAAAGTGATATAAGATTTGATCCAAGACTGAAAGAAACTCTCCTCACCCTAACTTCCTCTGTTCCACTAACTCTTGGTTCCAGTAAACTTTTTAGGCCTACTTTGGGTCTGTAAGGCACCAAGTATAACAAGGTGCTGATCTAAAGCAAACAATAACAATGATAGTGGCAGCTCATTTTGCCAAATTGCAACAGGCCCTTTGGTTTTAATATTTTGCAACATCTACATGTTTCAGGCAAAATGGTCAAATGTGCCTATGTGACTCATGCACCGCAGAGCTTACATCCCTTTGATTTTCAACAAGACTTTGAATCTTGCGTTAAAAAAGTTAAAAAAAGTGTGCACCTAAAAAAAGGTGCTAAAGGCCCTTTTTAAAATGGGCCTTTAGCACCTAAATCATTGCCTATAATGGTGTGCCTTACTTACAGATATGGGGCTAGATCCTATTTCACGTATTTGCAGGGATCTACTGAATTTACAATTTCACAGATTTTGCGGATTTTGTGAAATCTGACATTGCCCGTGAAATCCGCAGGAAGAAAAACAAAAGTTACCGAGTGCTGCAGCAGCTTGCAGGGGTGGGGGGTCATCTTTGGTATGTTTAATGATTCATTGTGTCTGTGTGCTATGCCAATGTAAACCAGACCCACAGTGCAAAAATAGAACAGTGGAAGTGACGTGTGGGTTGCTTTTTTTGTTTGGTTTTTTTTTGTTTTTGTAAGCTGGCTGCAGCTCCTAATACAAATGAGACAGCAACTCCATGAGGTATTCTTGTTGCAATTGATGGGGGCCTCTGCCACACTCCTGGAGGAAGTTGAATATCCTCCCTGCATCTAGGGTTACAGTGGTTCTGCCTGCGGGCCATTTTTAGAGCTGCCTGGAAGTTTGTTTTGTGCCAGCTCAGGAAGAATGTGTCACCGCTAAACTCAGCTATGTCATGGTCTCTAGCACAGAAGTATGAACTCCCTGCATTGAGTGAACTGGGAGGATTTTATCCTAGCCAGTGTAACATGGACTAGAATTGCTACCACCAAATTAACCCTTCTTTCTCCAGTGTAACCAGCTGTAACTAGACAAGGGTTGTATCTTCCTGAATTCTCTTTCTGTCAACATTTCCCAAGCTGCAAGGCCTAGGATGCCACAGAAAAAACATTGTGGGGACCTGTTCTTCACCCCACATCTAGTCATAAAGAAAAGGAAGTTGTTCCCAAGCCCCTTGGATCTGCCTGTAATCTGCATGTTGAGAGCCCACTCTTAAGCACTTTCAAATCGTGTCATTAGTTTAATGCTGGTTTTAGATTTTCCTTTTTTCCCCTGAGACTAAAGGCAGCAAATACCTGGTAAAAGGAAAAAATAAGATATCTACAAGTTACCTAATGCAAGTTAAATACTTATAGGGCTAAAAGCAGGTTTAAAATACAGTACAACCTCATTGTAACAAACCCCATAGGACTGGGAAAAAAGTTAATTAAGGAAGAGTGTTTGCTATGACAGGGTTAAAGTGAGGCAGGCACTCAATTTACTGCATCATAATAGTGACAAAAGTAAATTTCTGCTGTTAGAACATTGAAAGTGGGGGCTGGCTATAACCAAGGTTTGTTGTAACGAGGCAATACTATACTACTATAATCTGCTTAAGAAGCCACACTTCTGTTTAATGATAAATAAACACAGAAAAATTAAAATTGCCACACCTTGATAATCATATGTACAGCCTTACATCCTTATCTAGAATTTTGACCTATTCTTACCACACCCTCAGCGAAAAAGAGACCAGTCAGTTATCCCTGTAGACTTTTAGAGCTATGACTCTCAGACCTTGACTACAACCTCCATGAGGTAAGAACAACCAGTTCCTTCATTCTTTATATCCAGGTTTTTCTGCCCTTACTCCAGCTCCAGCCTGACTTGAGAACCCAACTGAAAGGATGCATCCTGTGCCTTCCTCCCTAGTAGCCCTGACAAGGCTGTGCTGCCTACCAAACACGTTACTGTATTTGCCCATATTAGCATTCCCCAACCACCCTTAATTACAGATATGGGGCTAGATCCTATGTCACCTATTTGCAGGGACCTACTGAATTTACAATTCGCAGAATTTATAATTTCGCTGACTGCAGTGGACAATAATCAGAATCAGCTTTTTTGCTACAGTTGACTGCACTGCATTGACAGGATCAAGAAGAGGAAAGCTATTGACCCCTTTGTGGTCCAGGACTATGTAGATTCCCATTGTGATAGAAGCATTTTTTTCAGTTCACCAGAGTATGAGCTATAAATAGAAAATCATTTTGGTCCTGAAGGACTCTGGCTGGTGCCCTACAGGGCTCTCTGCAGTTGTCACAGGGAGCTAGTTAACACTGATTGCTCATGTGCCTTCCCTTAAAGGCAAATGAACAGTGCCCGCTTCTGAAGCACTCATGCTCCAGCTGAAACCAATGGGAGTTGTTGCTCCCAGGATCATGCTTATGCAGTGTTAGGAGGATAACAAAAAGACCTTGCAATATTGCAAACGCAGGAGGAAGAGTAGTGACTTGAAATATCAAGCATAGCCTCAGTAGTGGGAGCAAAACTTGTCCCTGGCCTGTGAAATTATTGGTGTTAGGATAAACATGGATTTGGCTTAGTAAGTATTTGTTTATGGTGTTTTCCTGCACTGACTAAAGCAGATAGGTTTAGCCTGTTTGCTCTCAATTTCCTTTTAGTGGAGGGATCATGGGAAGTCAGCAAAAGCCTAGAGGAGACAGCTGAAGTGCTCCGAGGAGTGGGGTGGTAGTGAGAACTCAAGAAAAGGGCAGCAGCAGAGGAGAAGAGGCAAAGCGAATAGGCAGCCAATGTGAAGGGGATCTGCTGAGGAGAGAGTGGCAGGTATGCAATGGAGTAGTGGTGAGAGGTAGGATGGCTGGAGGGAGAGAAGATAGGAGGAGCTGCATGGGGGTCTGCAATAGACTCCTACCCTTATTTCATATAAAGAGGATCCTGTATCTTTAAAGATGCCAGCCCAGGGTGAAGGGCATGATGTCCACAGGGTATATGTAAGAGGCCTGACCATTGGGGCCAGGTAGTGAGGGAGGAAGCAGTCTGGAGGTAGGAGTTCTGTTAGTGGAAATGCTGGTCAGTATGTGTGGAGTCACAAGCAGGTAAGCCCTGTAGGTGAGCTGGGCCCTGGGAGACTGTGGTTCAGGCAGCAAATATTAGTCACCTCTCTCCCCAACTGTGCTGATGACCTTAACCAGTGGAAGAACAAGGCAGATGAGATAACAGGTTATCAGATGGTTGGAAGAACAGGCCAAATCCCCCTCTGCAAGGGACAGAAATATGTCCTAGGGCTATAGCTTGAAGGTGATTAGGGTCCAGTGCATGAGGCAGGTAGACATTGGGCAGAAAAATGGGTAGCGGTGGCTCCTCTGTTATAGGGCAGAGTAGGTGCTTGGGCAATGGTAGGCAGGATGAAGGAGCAAAGATTTGGGAAAAGGAGGAACTCCCAGAAATGGAGAAAACCACTCCTTGGCCTGCTGAAGGACAGCAGAGCTTCAGAAACACTGCAGAACAGGGAGAGGTATTGGACAGGCTTATATGGCAGAGCAAACAATAGAACACAGGACTCCATGCAGGGGATGCGAGAAAGTGGTTAGCTGCAGGGTGGAGCTTCAAACTAATTTGTTAAAGGCAGAATAAATAGGACCTATTGATAGCTTCCTGGCAGGGTGATCTCTCTTACCAGACAAACCCCCTTTAAATCAAACTTCAGCTCAGCACCTTGGTCCTGGTTCTGGTTTATGCAAGCAACTCCTGTGCAGACTCTGGCCATGTAAAGGGAGCCCAGAATACTTTGCTGCCAGCATGGTTTTACAGGTCTCAGTATGGCCTCACTGTAATGAACTCCTGCTTTGAGCAATCCCAGAAGCACAAATCTTCTTTTTCTATCTTGTGATGTAGCAAATAACTAATCTTTTTCTAGAAAACACTTTCTTAATGAACTTGTTCTTCTAGTGTGATGAAGCTTTCTTATTCTGAGGTTGTACAGTATATGAGAATTGGGCCTAGCAAGTAATTTGTACATAGTGAAAATCTGACACTGTCCACCTTCCTGACCATCTATCTGGTTCTTTTCAGGGAAAAAAATGTACCTTCCAAGCCTAAGCTTGTGGGCAAAGCAAGCCACCAATGCCTCAGTGCCATCCAGAGACAAAGCAAAATGTTTCTTTTGTCTGTTTGAGAAAGTGAACCAAACTCCTATGCTCCCTGCTGTGGGAAACTGACAGAGAACAATAAACCAAAAATGTATCTGATGGCACATAATGTTGTAGTATTCTGGAGTTTTACTTTTTAAAATGATAGTTGGAAATCAGTGGCATCATAATAGCAGCTTCTGCAGCTGAAAAGAAAGTATTCTGGCACTTTTCATTAAATTCTGAGATGGTGATGAAATGCCTATTGTCTTTGACTCCATTCCTCCACGAAATTTGCTGTTAACTGTAGAATCCAGGGGTGTTGTGGTCATTTAACTTTTTCCTTGCCTGTGAACACACCAGTTGCATGGATGACCATTCATTCTTTTAACAAAGAAAAGTAGGCAGAAGGCAGCGTAGATGTGTATCTTACAGACTAAATCAGATGCATAAGCATAAACAGCAGCTTACTTCATCAGATGCTATGAAGGTCAGCTGTGCAGGAAGCAGAGCTTCTAAATAGAAAGCAATGATTACATTACAAAGGGTAGGGAAGGGGAGGTAAAAGGGGAACTGCTTGGAGAGCAAGCTGGGTAGAAGAGAGAAAAGCAATGCAGTTAACCCACTGAGGGACAGAGGGATTTGAAAAATGAATTTAGGTAGTGGGGTTAGAATCTGTAGTCTTGATTTAGACCAGGGTTGTCCAACTTAGTAGCCTGGGATCACACACCCTATAGGTCACACCAGCAGGGGCTGCATACCATAGGGCCCACACCAGTGCTCCCTACTCCCCACTGCACCAACCATGGGGGTCTCCCTAGTCCCTTTTGCACTGGACAAACAGGCACGTGCACTTGCAGCAGCTCAAATAAAAGCAGAACAAATATGAGCTGGGGCTTTTTGCCTCTGCGCACTTGCCCAGATATGCACTTTGGTATGGGGCAAATTGTGCTACTGGGGGCAAAATAACCCCACCTGGCTCCTCCCAGATCTGCAGCCAGGGGGAGCTAGAGGCTGTATAAAAACCTGCCCTGTGCTGGCCCCAGCAAAATGAAAAGCTGCCCTGGCAAGTAGCTCAGGGCTACTCGCTCTCAGGAACTTCTGGGGCCCAGCCAATTGGTACCTGAGGACACTACCCCTTGTGCCAGCTGAACTGCTGAAGCAGCCCTGAGAGTTTCCTGCACCCTTTACCCAATGCAGCAGTTTGGCAGTGGGGGTTAGCTGTGACCTGTTGCCACCTGTGACAGCACGTGGTCCCAAGGCTGCACATCTGCCAGACCTGGATGGGGACTGCTTGGCCTTTAGAGGCATCTGTACCTCTGGGCCAGCTGTGGCAGCACAGTTGACCTTTGTGCAACACTACTGCCACATGTGCCACTGCCCAACCATCTGGGCAGCTATTGCCTGGAAGATTTCTCACTGTGGTGACCTGATTTGAATGGATACTGGTCTGAACTCAATTCCAGAAAGACGCACAAGCCTGTGTCAGAACACTTTAACCTCCCTAGACAGTCCACTGCTAACCTCAGTGTAGCTGTTCTTAGACAGCAAAACTTTAAAACTAATAGGAAACCGAAGAACATGAAAGCATCCACAGGCTGAACCATGTTAAGTGTGGCTTAAACTAAAGCTAGTTTAAGCCATACTTATCCCCTGACCTAGGTTAGCTTTTATAACCCCATCTCCCTCAGTGGGTTAACTGCCTCTTTTTTTCTTTTTTTTTATTCTTGCTTCTACCTACCTTGCCTCTCCCGGTAGTGCTTTCTTCTCCCCAATATTCTAATTGCTGCTTTATATTTAGAAGCTTTGCCTCCTGCAGTACTTTTATAACATCTGATGAAGTAAGTTGTCGCTTATGGAAGCTTATGCATCTTAAATTTAGTTAGTCTTTAAGGTGCAAATCTACCCTGCCTTCTGCCATTCATTCTATTGTCATAAAGGTCTGGAGGTAGACAGCATGAAACGTGCTAAACAGTAATTATTGTTGCATTGCCCTTGTATTGTTTGTAATGGTGGCAAAAAGCATCAACTTTAAAGCATCTCTTTAAAAGGATGGAAAATGCCCTTTGTAGCTTGTGGACACTTTCTTTGTATTCATGAATGAATTGAAGAACCAGGAAAAGCTCATTTACTCATCTTGTCCATTCACCTAACAATGTAAAATTGCTTCTAACATCACATGTACAGTAAAGTCCCTGTAATCCAGCATGAGTAGGGAATGGGGGGTGCCAGGTATCTAAAAATGCCAGTTACCCAAGCGTGGGTTTCTGGACGGACACTGAGCCTGAATGTACCAACTTTCAAAGCTTGCACATTTTCCACAGTACCTACATGTTTCAACATTGCTTGGTGTTGCTATCTGATCCTTTGGTTAAGGAGACCAGGAACTTGAACAGGATACAGCATATAATTTTATCAATGATGAGGCTACCCAGTATGGCTTCAAGCATGCCAAGGCAAGCAGACTGCCTCTGGCCTGCAAGCAAAAAAAAAGGTCAAAAGGAATGAAGCAAAGGAGGAAACTGACTTACCGGGGAGGGGAACTTTGGTGCCTGAGGATCCAGCCATGGAGGTAGATATATTTTCTTGCTCCTTCTCCTCATTTGTTCCGGTCGAAACATCTCCAGGGAACAGGAGGAGGAAGGGTCAATATACAATAACAAGTCTCCAGGTCCCCACTTCTTCTAGTGACCATTATAATGCTAATGCTGACCAGTTTTGGTAACAGTGATGGTCCCCAAAGCTCTGTCTCACACAGTTCTTCTCTAGAGAGTACCAGTCATCCTATGCTATCTGAAAGAGCTCTGTCCATTAACAATTTCCCAGTCCAGATGCATTGCATGTGGTCCCTGGATGGATGCTTCCTTAAGAAAGTAACTGCTACCCTGAATGTTGTGCATATTTACTTTGCACCATCCTTTTGAATGTGCCTATTCCTCCTTTCCACCACAGCTTCACATACTACATTGAGTGGCCACAATGACCTTCCTGTCCATCTTTCACCCACTTCCAGATTTCACCCTGGGTGAAGGATGGCCATACAAAAAGCCTGTTTTGCCAGGGGCAATGTCAGAGAGATACTTTGTTTCCCAAGATAGCAGAAGCAGCTGGATCAGATGCCTGACAACTTCAGGGCTAAGTAGAGACATTCAGGGGCATTAGGGAAAATTAAATCAGTTCAGAATGGCTGCCCGGTACCAGGTAAGTCAGGATGCAGAGCTATCAGGGGGAGGAGGGAGGTTGGGGGTGTAGCAGGCTGGAGGGGATGGAGGGTCTGCCAAGGGATGGGAAAGAGGTGAGACCCATGAGGGGTGGGGGGGCAGGTGCTACCTGCGGGTGGGGAAGGGACTGAGACAACCCACAGGGTTTTGCTGTGGTCTGGGAGTGTCTGGAGGGATCAGGAGGGCTCATTGGGAGGCTTGGGGAGATCAGTCTACTTTTACCACCCTGATCTACCCAGAGGACCTACACCCCCATCCCTCCTGTCCCTCTGTCCCCCGGACTTACTTGCTCATCTCCAGCAGTGGCGAACACTAATAAGAGTGGCTTGTGGGATGAGGCATGAGAGGGCTGGCTGGCTGAGAGGTGGGGTGGGGTGGGGGGGCAAAAATAACCCAGTGTGGGGCAGGGGGGCAATGCGGAGTGAACACAGCAGCCCTGGAGCTGGGGCCAGTGGCTGGGGCTATGTAGGGGAAGTGTACAGAAGATCCCTTCCGCAGTTGGAGCCCTAATCAATTCAGCAGTTGGACCCTAAATCAAATAAGTTTGATACTACATAGATCCAGGTCTATCTTAAGCTGGGTTCTGCAATTTTTAGATGGTGCATAGAACTTCTGTAGGTGCAAACTGATTGCTGGTCACTGAAACCAGGTCTGTAAGTGTAAAGTCAGCACTGGGATTAGCTAAATTTAAACCAGGTGGCCATTTTGAACCTGATTTAACCTCCCCAAATGTCTGTACTTAGCCCAGGAGACTATGACTTAACCAACTAGTAGCCCACTGACATTGGTGTAGTTTATCTGTGATCATCATGATTATTTAACTTCTGCATGTTGCTGGGCAAGGGAGGTAATGATTAGTGAGAGGAAACTGAAAAAGGGTCATGACATAAAGAAAAAAGGGTCAGCATAGGGAAGGGGGAATAGATACTGCTAAAATTAAAACACAACATAGGTATGAGTTTAAAACAAAACAGCAAGTTAAAGGACTAGGAAGTGACAGTTGAGCAAATTTAAAGTAGTAGATCTGAAATGAGATTTTTCAAAAGCCTTCAACACTATCTTATCTCTGTTCTCATGGGAGTATTTATATTGACTCTAGTGAGAGCAGTGCTAGATCAATGTGGGTTTGGTATCAGCAAGAGGAGATTTAAAGCAACTCTGACTGCTTGTACCCTCAACCTTGTTAAGCCCTTCTTCAAGCTTTGTCTGTGCATGGTCTATTGAAGGCTTGACCCAGCAAAGCCTTAGTTCAGTAACTTTCACTCACTGTAATGGGATTTCCGATGGGCCTGCACCTCTTCTGTCAATGGCCATCTCATGAGGCCTCCTTCATGAGGAGGAGGATAGAGCTTTTTGTGAGTAAGGAATAGCTGTAGCTATAGTAGCAATAGTTAATGGGATAAATTCATTCCATGCTTCCATGTTTGTTCAGCTGCTTATAATGATTCAGAAAAATCATGGTTTAGCTTGAAAGTTCTCTGGTGCGTTCTCAATTACAAGGCAAGTGGATCTGAAAAGTTTGCTGAAATTCTGCTGACTCAGTTTTGACTTGTTGAGGCATGAATACAGGGTTTTCCATCATAAATTTGAAAAAGATGTTTAAAAAAAGTTATGCTTTTGTATAATTCAGATTTATGAATTTAAAACCTCCCAGTGTTGTTATGCAGCTGGCCTCCAGCAAAGGTCTTAAGTGTGTTTCAAAAAATAATAATTTACAAATAAATTTTAAAATACTTAAAGATTCTTGGTCATGATCAGGACAACCTGCCTTTTCAGAAGGTAGAAGAAGCAGCATGGAAATGGCTCTCATATTGGGCCACAGGACACTCAGAAAGCAGATGAACTTGCTGAGAGAGAGAACAAAGCTACTGTGAATTTGGTGGCAAGTTCTCCACTCATTTACAGTCTTGGCGAAAGATCACAGGATAGCTCCTTGGGGAATAAATGACTCCCCAGGAATTCCTCACTAAATCCTTTTACATCAGTGTCCATTGCCCAGAACTCAGGCTGATTCAGCTTCCTTCTATTTATTTTTGTCCTCATTGTTTCTTGTTCTCTGAACTATGTGGTGCTTGACCAGGCTTCTGACTGGAGGTGGGGATCAGCATCATTGACACTGGTCACCTGTGTAAAGTTAAGCGTGTGCAGCAAAGAACAATTTTTTATTTAGTTGGTCTAATAAAAGATATCACATTTACCCAAAAAACTACTCTTGATATTTTCATGCCCCTGGCACCTCATTTACTTCAAAGGCATCACCCCAATGCAACAACAAAGCTTATGTCATCTACGCTTGCTGCTTAGGGTTGGTCTAATAAAAGATATCAAATTCACGCAAGGAACCTTGTCTGCCTATGTCCTTAGACCAACAGGGCTACAACCCAAAACCCTAGCAGTACCACAGCACTCTAAACCCTGTGAGCCAGGGGAGCAGGGAGAATTGGTGGGGCTCTGTCTGAAGTTCATCCCTGGTTTAGGATTTAGAGATTGAGGGTCTAATCTGTGCCCAATAAAGTCAATAGCTAAATTCTTGTTTTCTTTAATAGTGCACCACTGGGCCTTGAAAGGACAAGAAAGAAGAAAAGGAACATGATTCACTAATGATGTATATCCAGTAGGGGTGTGCGAAATGGGCCCTATTTGATTCAGATTCAGCCCGAATCAGGAACAGTGATTTAATTAGTTGATTTGGATCACTGTCCCTGATTCGATTCAGCTGAATCCAAAGATTCGATGCTGATTCAGAGAATCAGTGATTCGGCCATAGACACAGCTTTAAATGTTTTTTCTACATACTTCGAGGTACCGACGCAGCTTGTGAATGCTGTGATGCTGGGGAGCATGGAGTGTCCTACAGGAGTGCGGGGGGGCCCTCCATATGCTCAGTGGTGAACCTGGAAGTGGACCAGAAGTAATTCTGGGTCTGCCAGGGAGCACACTGGGGGGCCCCACCTTGCCCCATCAGCTGTGGGGAGACCCCAGGTGCCTCCCCAGACCCAGGAGAAACTAGTCGCCAAGCCAGGGAGGCACGAGGGGGCCCACCTGGTGGATCTGGAAGTGGACCCGAAGTGCTTCTGGTCCACTTCCAGGTCTTCTGCTGAGCACGCTGGGGAGCCCCCTGCGTTTCTGTGGGACACTCCATGGGACCTAGCATCGCAGCACTCACGAGCCGAGCCACCTGCTACCTAGAGGTATGCAGAAAAAACATTTAAAGCTGTGTCTATGTCCGAATCTCTCTGAGTTGATTCAGAGAGTTCCGATTCGATTCAGAGAGATTAAAGGGCCCTCTGATTCGATTCAGATTTGAAGATTCAGCCACTGAATCAGGCTGAATCTCCACTGAATTGAATCAGGGACCGAAGCTTCGCACAGCCCTAATACCCAGCAGCAGCTGAGCAGCTCGGAAAGAGGGATTTCTGGATATAGTTGATATTCTTCCAGCTTCTGCACAGTTATTCTTTACTTCTAGGAAAAGGTAACCTTTTATTCTTAATTGAGGATATTTTATTTTCTGTGAAATTATATGTTATGACCCAATTAAAAAAAACAACAACTTCAAGGGTGCTTTTACATTAACTTAATCATTGGATTTGATCCATTGACACAATAGGTGACACAGCCTGGGATCACTGGTAACATTAGCATAGATTCTGATGGTGTCAGGATCTTACCCAGTATATTCAAACCCATAACCCCCAATTTAAAAATTATATATACCCTGCATAAGGTACCTTAGTTTGTATTTACAATTTGACCAAAGCATGCTGTTGCGGGGTATGGCGAACCCCTCCCCACTCTGCTTGGGAACTTGCCTGCCCCCTCTTTGATGGGAAAAAATTAGATGATTAATCCCAACTGGAGGAATACAAGTCGGACCTCAGGCACTCAATTAAAGCAGCCATAGGTTTTATTTTACTCACTCCCACCCAGCCAGCTACTGACCCAAAGCCCCAGGTGGCTGTGGAGGGGAGATCTTTGATACAACCAAAGAAACAAGGTAGGTCTCTGGGAGCTGCTCTGCTCCTAACTCTCAGTCTCTTTTCTTCTCTTTTCCCAGGTCCTGCTCAGTCTGAGCTCCTCGCCATCACTCTTGATGCCGACAGCCCTGGTAAGTCTCTAACACCAACTCCCTCGTTGGCATTTTTTCCATGTTGCTGGCACCCACTGCATCTTGGCATCCCATAGGTAGCATCTCTCCCAGCTCCTTACTGGTCTTGCCCTCCTCCTATGTGCCCCAGGAGGTAGCTTCTGGTTTCAGCTGCTGGGTTTTTATCCGCACCAGCTCCCGCCTTGGTGCTTATCTCTTTGAGAACTCGTGGTGCTCAGGTGAAGTGCCCAAAGATTGAAATAAGGCCAATGTGGTGCCTATCTTCAAGAAAGGGAGGAATGTGGATCTGGGAAACTACAGGCCCATCAGCCTGACCTCTATCCTGGGGAAGATCTTTGAAAAAGATCAAAGAGACCATTTTTGACAAACTGGCTGATGGCAACATCCTGGGGGATAGCCAGCATGGGTTCGTTGCAGGTAGGTCTTGCATGACCAATCTCATCTCCTTCTATGACCAGGTAACATACCACCTGGACAAGGGAGAATAGATTGACATCATATATCTGGACTTTAAAAAAAGCCTTTGATCTGGTGTCCTATGATCTCCTCATGGAAAAATTGTCCAACTACGGCCTTGGCTACATCACAGTCCGATGACTGGGGAATTGGCTCTGAGTTTGGACCCAGAGAGTGGTAATCAATGGAAGTGAATTATTGTGGTGTGCCATGATGGGTGGAGTCCCCCAAGGCTCTGACCTTGGGCCTATACTTTTCAACATCTTTATTAACAATGTAGACATTGGTGTCAGAAGCGGACTGGCCAAGTTCACCGATGCCACCAAATTTTGAGGTAAAGCGTCCATACCCGAGGATAGGCTGGTAACCCAGGCCGACCTTGACAAGCTCAGAAAATGGGCAGATGAAAACCTGATGGCATTTAACACCAAAAAATGGGAGGTACTGCATCTTGGGGCGGGGGGAACCTGCAGCATGCTTAGAGGCTCGGCAGTGCTATGCTTGCTAGCGTCACGGCTGAAAGGGATTTGGGGGTCATGATTGACCAGAATATGAATATGAGCCACCAATACGATGTCATAGCTGGTAAAGTGGGCAAAACTCTGGCTTGCATCCATAGATGTTTCTCAAGCAAATCCCGGGATGTCATCCTCACACTATATTTGGCCTTGGTGAGGCTGCAGCTGGAGTACTGCATCCAATTCTGGGCTCCACAATTTAAAAAGGATGTGGAAAAGCTTGAGAGAGTCCAGAAGAGAGCCACGTGTATGATTAGAGGTCAGGAGAACAGGCCCTATGATGAGAGGCTGAGAGCGATGGGACTCTTCAGCCTGGAAAAGCACAGGCTCAGGGGGGACCTGGTGGCTGCCTATAAGTATATAAGGGGAGCTCATCAGGATATAAGGGAACGCCTGTTCACCAGAGCGCCCCAAGGGATGACAAGATCAAACGGTCACAAACTCCTGCAAGACTGTTTCAGGCTGGACATAAGGAAGAACTTCTTTACTGTCTGAGCCCCCGAGGCCTGGAATAGACTGCCTCCAGAGGTGGTGCAAGCACCTACTCTGGACTCTTTTAAGAAACATTTGGATGTCTATCTTGCTGGGATCCTTTGATCCTAGCTGACTTCCTGATCTTCTGATGTCCCTTCCAGCTCTAATGTCTATGAAATCTATGAAATCTTTAATTCCTCCCCGCTTGGGCATTCTTCCCAGCTGGTGCTGTTTACTGCTGGCTCGCTGTTGCCGCTCTGGCCCTTTCTACCCCCAAAGTAACAGGGTCTACCCACACCCTTTACATATGCTTTCCTGAGGATATAAAATTTGTAATATATTATACACCTACTTATGATACCATTCTGTTTGATACATATTGAGTTCAATCCTGAGTTCTTTGCCTAATTTTTACAATAGCTAGTGAAAAAGAGAACCCAGAGATAATGCGTAGCAACTATTTTCAACAGGTAATTCATATTTTTCTTTTTGTTAATATTTTGAGTTTCAAAAGCTTTCCCAGCAACTTTATGCCACTCAAATGAGAGTCAATGTTTTAAATTAAAATTTGCTAAAAATACTTCTAGCTTTTTTCCCATTTAAAAAGTTTCCACAAGTTGTTAGTTGTTTCACAGGCATATTCTTCTGGAATTTCTTAAAGGACTTGGAAGGAATTTCTTTGAGTGGAAAATGAGTAAGGATCTTCGATTCTGGCTCACTGATTAAAATATACATAATGGATTTATATTTATAATGGTCCCTTACCTGGGACCATGTTGTCCCTTCTGTTTGCTTAACCCCATTTAGAGGACAAGTATCTCTGAGTTTCCTACGTAGTCTTCCATGACAGTCAGTAGTTGGGGAGTCTGTAGGAGAGAATAAGGTGGATATCCTTCTCCCCCACTGCAGAAATGACTGGGTACATAGTCCTCAACCAGTGGATCTTCAGAGGATGATAATACAACTATCCTCTGTGGATAAAACACTTGACTGGGACTTGGGATCCTTGAGTTTTCTTCCCACCCCTGCCACTGGCTTGTTGAGTGACCTCAGGAAAGTCAATGTGTAGTTAACTTGTGCAAGGCAAGGATTTTTCTGGTGATTCTTTCATTGGACCAATGGTATAGTCCCAGGAAATATGAGGGGCAAAGATTCTTCTGTTTGTCTTTTATTGTACTTGAACCATCACGGCTATAACACTCCAACTCTAATTAGTTTGTGGAACTCACTGGCAGTGGATGTTGTGGAGGCTGATGATTTAATTAAGTTCAAAAGAGGATTGGAAACCCTCACTAAGATTTCCTAGGCCTCTGAATGCTGTAGGAGGGACAGGGGTAGTGAATGTATTTGTCTGAATATGCCTTGCATAAATACTCTCCTTCTTAGCACCCACTTTCTGCTACTATGAGACAGAATACTGGGCTAAATTGACCTGTGATCTGATCCCCGTATGGCAGCTTTTGTGTTTTTAAGTCTCTTCAAGTCTCTCTGCCACCTTTCCTCGTTTTTTAAATTGGGAATAATGATACCAATTTATTTGTAAAGCATTTTGATTTATAAATATGCGTTAGGTGGTAGTCTGATTTAAAGTGAAACAGTAACAGAGCTAAGCCTTGGCAATCATTAGTTTTGACAGTGCATTTCCCTTTAATGTAAGCGTCTTGCTTTTTTTCTTTAAAGCAAAAATGTAATCATTGAATATTTCATGCTATTATACTTAACATTTTACTTGTTCTTTAGTATTTTTTTTTTTTAAACATCTTTATTACACTCCTTTTTTCTCAGTTTTCAGAAAGGGAAAATATGTAAAATGTTTCTCTTTTTAACTCTTTCCAAACTAACTTCCAAATGCTCCTCTTGTTTTGTTATTTCTTGAGTGCCAGGGGGTTAACACAATTCAGTGTTCCCTGTTCTGGTCATGTACTCTCTCTTCATCTCCTTTCAACTCCTAAGAGATTTATTTTTGTTTAGCTTTCCTGCTCCATTCAAATTGAGATTACTATTATTAAGATGTGTTTAGAGTACAGCATTCCACTCTTTCTTCTTTATTTTGAGCTTCTGGCTGAGTACGCTTGATAATTACATGTAACCACTTCACTTTGTAATATATTCCCCATATTTCCCTTCCAGCTGACCTAACACTTTCATACAGTAACATACTACAAAGTTCACTAACCCTTTTTATCTGATGGCATAATTGGGGCTCTGTGTTTCTGAATCTCTGAAGTCCAAATCAATCCTTCTAAGCAAACGGCCTTTCAAATGCAGATAAAGTAGAGTACTTTTTCTCAACCCAATAAAAAAGCTCTTTTGCCTCTCTTAGTACCTGTTTTATGATATCTATTTCATGATTTTAATAGAAAAATCAGCAAATGTAACTGTTCATGCCATAGGTGGATGTGCTTGGTGAATCTGGAACTAGTCCTGTTGTTTGATGGTGAACATATACATTATGCTTCAGAGCCTGGTAAGTGTGGTTTGATTATAATCTGCCTAGAAATGAGTGTTGATCGCCCTTCTGACAGCTCCTCTGTCAGCTGCCTCAGGGTTTGTCTGTACCTAAAGTTGTTTTAACATGAGTTGATTGTCATTTAACTCAGTTTAATCAGTATGATAGGCAGGATGCCTTTTGAATGCTCTGGCAAAAAAAAAAAAAAATTGATGACCAGTCTATCATATACAAATGCACAGATAAGCAATCAGGTTGTTAAAAATTGCAGGGTACAAACTCCATGGTACAGAGAAAGCAAGGCCCCAATTCAGAAAGTGTTTAATTAAGTCCATTCCTGTTCACCAAAGCATTTAAACACATGCTTAACTTTAAACACACACTTAAAACCTATTGAAGTCCCTGAATTAGCTACACTGTTGCAAATGCTCCATACCAAGGCCAGACTCTGCACGGGCAGGACTTTATTGACTAAAGAATATTGGTTTTTCTCTTTGTTTCCACTGGTGGCTTGCAGAGTCTGGCTCTCTGGTGAAATGCTACATAGTTATCCCCTTAATTCTTTTTCTAAGTGTCTCTGAAATATTTATTTTGTTCCTCTTCTTGTCCCGTTTTCCATCAGGCAGCTCACTACAGGGTTTTAATATGTTTTTGAATGTTTCTCACCCTTACAAACAATCTACTTTGCTTATATGCTAGTGAATTGGACACACTCCAGTAAGTACGACTGGTTACTTTGTTTTACCAGCTTATAACCAGAAAGAGAGGACACAGAAGCTGTTCCACTGTTTTGGCAGCTCATCCCTGCAACATAAGAGAGGTGTCTTTTTATCCTGTATAGTTTGCGCAAGTTATTTGGCATGTGAAAGCCCTTATGGTTTCCATGCCTTTATACAGAGGTCAAATGCAGAGCTGTTTTGCTGCACTCCTGACTTTCCACACTCCATCTATTAGGGTCACACTAATGAAGACATTTCCAACTGATGACTGAACTTAGCAGCCAGGTGCTAAACACAGGGAAATGCTGCTTACTTGGCAATGGTTGGTATACAACCACAATATTTTAAACTATAATTATAAGATTTTTCAGAGCAATTGACAAAAAGAAATGTCATATCCTTAGTTCTTGTTACATTTGTGCATTCTTAAACCTAGCATCTTGCAAAGGGCAGTTCTCAGAAATAAAAAAAGTTGGAGATTACCCATTGAATGTAATTTTATATCCTTTCTGAGGAGCACACAGCTTCTTTAAAAAAAAACAACAGCAAAACAGTTGGCACCATTTATTGAGAGAATTGTGTTTTATAAATTGCCTAGGTCATAGTTCATTTTATGAAGTGCACACTTCCATGTAGGTATTTAGATATAGTTAGAAGTGAAAAGGGACATGGCAAAATGTATGGCTATTTGCTGAGCTGGTACTTTTGATGAGTAAAATGATAAACATAAAGGATAAAATTCTAAACCTGTTGAAATCAGTGGGGAGTTTTCTCATTGATTCCAATGGAGCAAGGTTTCCTTTCAAATATCTTTCCCTTAAGATTGTAAAAAAAAAAAAACTTACATATGTGCACAGAATAATACCGATAAAAATCACCTGCCTGAGTCTGCAAACAGCCTGAAACAAAAGACCCAAATTTCCATTGCCCAGTACATGTACAAAATAGGTTTAAGATGTTACCCAATCAGGATGAGAGCAATTTCTTTTAATCCACATTTTTTAGTTGTGTAAAGGATTATTAGAAGGCAGGGTAAAGAGTAAAATACTTTACATCTCTGTAAATGATGATGTCAGACTTGGAGCAACACAATAAGAGAAGTGGCTGCTTACCTTATTCATTTCAAAGGAGTGCCAATTTTAGAACCTAACAATGCTCACTTAAACATTAAAACCATTAGCTATCTCAAAGGCTGCAAAATTAGGGAGGTAGATTAGGAAGAGGTCTGCAGATCTCCATAGAGTCTACTAAGATTGCCACAGTTTGTTGACAGCAGTATGGTTTGTGAAAGAATTTTTGGAGGTTATCAAAACTTATTTCCTTAATTCAACCCCTTTGTTCCAAGTCATCTTACCTACTTCTACAAAGGATTTCAGTTTCTTTTTCCTTAGATTTTGCTTTTAACTTAGAAGGGAGTGGAATTTAACATACTGTAACTTGATATAAGGCAGTCTGTAGAGAGAGAGGGTGCATCTACATGCACAATTAATGTGAAGCAATAAACTCCCAAACAGTTTGAGCCAGAGTAAACTGCTCCTGGGTGCAGCATCTACATTTGCTCCCAGGACAGCAGCAATTTGAGCCAAGGCAGAGCAGGCCTCCAGCTGGCTGGACTGACCAGGCACAATATATGCCCGTGGTCAGGGCTGGATTGACATATAAGCAAACTAGGCATATGCCTAGGGCCCTAAGTGAAGAGGGGGCCCAGTTGTGCTTATTTTACATATTATAATTATTGAGTAAAAAAAAAGTAATATAACTATACAGCAGGGGTTTTCAACCTTTTTTAATAAATATACCCCCAGCAGCCAGAAACAGAGCTGGGGAGTGGGGGGAAGAGGGAGGATGGCGTACAGCCTGACATGGAGCGGTGCCAGCGTAGGGGGATGAGAGTCATTGTTGTCCTCCCAGCCCCAGTATCCGGCTGGCCAGGCAGCACCTGTGCAGCCCACAGAGGGGCACTGCTGCCCTTGACCCCTGCCCTTCCGTGTGTATCTCCTAGGGCCTTCCCATTAAAGGGTTAATCAGGCCCTGCCCATGGTAAGCATCTACACTTGTGTTTCAGCGACGGAGTTAATTAGTTTACTGTGCCGTAATACCAGCGCACATGTAGACAGTGACACTTTGCTACAGAGCTAGTCTACTCTGTAGTAAAGTGTACATCTAGATGCACTGAGAGTGTTAAAACTTCTTTCTCTTAATTAAGCCAAGAGCTGCAGTAGGTCTACAAGAACTCTGTTATTAGTACAAATAAAATTAGCAGAATGTTTTTATTATTAAACTTGTTGGGGGTGGGTATCAACATTGGCCATTTTAATTCACATCTGGCTAAAAGATGGCACACAGGCAGTTGGCTTTAGTGCAAGGTTTTCAAGATGAGATTAAAATCCTCTGGAAGTTTGTATTGTTGGTAAACACTTTGGATCAATGTCTTGTGAGTAAATAGGGCTGCATTTTGACACCTAAAATATTGCAATAGATTCTTCAATGTAAATATTTCTTTAGAGGATCACATCCTTCACATGAAGGATGACTACTGTGATACATGTTAATGATTTCCAAATGACAGATTGCATAAGTCAATTTCATGCCACAATAACTTTGAGTTGTTAGGGCAGGAGAGTATCAAAGATATCCCCTTTATACTACACCCAGTGTAAAAATGGTTGAACCGATAAAGGCGAGGGATAAGAAATATGTATTTTATATTGAAATCACATCAGAAGATCTGCAAAGCCCTTTACCGTGTCAGTGGGCTAGGATTTAACTTTCACTGTCTTTCTTACAGGCATTAAGAATAAGAAAAGTAAAAGAGCTCTCTTTAAAATTCCCAGAAAAACTTGAATCTGTCATCTAAATGGACTGGCATTCCTTTATGTCTTTGTGGATAGTACTTAAGGCTAGAAGTTGCCAGGTACCTATATTGGCATACCAAAGTGTCAGAGTACGGATGTGTGGTAAATTGCAAAACGACATTTGCCTAATGCTGCTCTCCAGGAGGCAAAGGACGTCTTACACCACACATATCTGCAGGTTTCAGCAGTGTGAAGTGATGGATGGTGGTTTAGATCCCTGCGCACACAAATGCTAAGTAGCTCCTGAAGTCCACAAAATCCTGCTGCCTCCCAGCTTGGGCTTCTCACCTCATGGTAGGCAATATACTGCCTAGTGATAGCTCCGGGGTCTGTGAATTCCTTCAGGCAGAAAGCACGTTTTGGTTTTTGGGTTTTTTTGCACAGCACTTTCATTCACATGAGCATCTGCTGCCTCACCACAGTTCAACTGCAAGACAGAGAGGAGGAACATGAAAGTGACTTCTTTGCTCATCAGAGGAAAGTGTGGCTTGGATCCACCTCTCTCCTTATCCTCTAGGACATAAAGTTTTTTCTGATCTGTGAATGACTTATGAGCCACAGGGACTCCAAAGCACTAGTTTTCAGGGTCTTTGTCTTGCTCTGGGTTGTCTCTTGCAGGTAGGCACTCATCACAGTGAGTAGGCAGGAGGCTTCACTCTGATCCACTGGATAACTGCTGAAAGGTGTACAAGAAAGGTTAGGCTTTTATTTCATTTGGGGTCCCTTTCTGGTACAATCTGCATTTTGCAATTCCCGTTTCAGTTTGTGGCTGAAAAGCAGCTTGAAAAGCTTCCTGCAGGCGAATCCCTATTCCAGCTGCTCTCTCCCCAGACTCTGCCCATGTATGTCAAGAGCCCAGCCCCAGCCAGTTGAAGACTGTTGGTCTTCATTATGGCATCGGCAGCTCCCCAGGTGGGTTAGACGGGGCTGGATCCAGGTCTCAGTCTTCCAGCAGCCTTCGTCCTTTTCAGTCCCTTTCGGTTTTGTTAACTTCTTCCTTCCCACCCGTTTCCCCTTCTTCATGTGCCCGAAAAGCTGCTTCCTCAGGGGGGTGCTGGGGCAGGGGCCTGTCTGAGGGGAAGCAGGTGAAGCTTTCAGGTCCGGGCTGTGCAGGAGGCAGGGCTGCCTTGTTCCTCCTGGGAAGGGGCTTTCCCTTTCCTCCTTGCTCAGTGCCTGGGCCCAGCACCCGGCCAGAGAGCCCCCTAGTGCCCAAATGCCCCCTGAACTAGGTCCGGGGGGGGAGCTGAGGCGAAGCAGCGAGGGTGGACGTGCTGCCCCGTGTCCCTGTGGGGGGCAGACCCCGAGGGGCGGCGGGCAGGAGCGGGAGCAGGGGGCCGGGCTAAGTGACCCCGCGCTGCCCCCCGCCCCCAGGGCTCGTGCTGCCCGTGCCGCGGGGAGGGGTATTTAGCCGGCAGGGCGGAGCGGGGGGGAGAGCTTAGGGTTA